TTAAGCAAGATAAGTGGCAGCTGGCACCATAAGCCGAACGCCAGACACTTGCTAAAAAATAAAAAGCCAAGTGGCAAGTGGCATTCTAGCCGAGCGCCAGGCACTTGAGCACGATAAGTGGCAGCTGGCACTGCTAGCCGAACGCCAAGCACTTGCCATAAACAAGCACACGACAAAGTTAATATAAAAAAAAAAAGAAGAGAGAAAGCGTATATATATATTGAAAATGGGTTGAACAGAGCGCAACACAAAGGAAAAAAAGAAAAAGAGTTCTGTCATCTCATTCATAATAAGCATTGAGTTTACAAAAAATGAAATATTCAAGTCACATTGTTACAAAAAAGTATGGAATCGAAGAGTCCGGAGGAGTCCTAGCTAGCTGCCTCAGTACCGACAGCATCCTGGTTGTGCAGACCCGCCTCCTCGGTCCCATCAGCCGTCTCACCCTCACGAGGTGGGGAATCAAGATGAATAACAGAGTCATTCTGCTGGGGGCCAACGTCAGTAGTGGCTATGGGAGGTACCACAGTTGACGATTGAGGAGCGGTTAGAGGCAGAGCGGTAGGAGGAGCTGTAGTGATCCTTGAGGAAGCAATGTCCCGGCACTCATCAAATATGTGCTTCGCTTCGGTGGGTTCTGGGTCAACATAGACCCCCAGAGGGTCAATCCCTAAATCCTTATCAACCTCATCTGGAGTGGAGCTGGTCTGTCCCTCATCCGGAACTCGGTCGGAGAAACCTTCTTGGAATCCTTGAGCATATCTAAGAGCGCCGACCCTTGAGAACCGGGCATGAAGAGCCAGCATCCCACCGTTCACTCTGCTGATTGTATCAATCAGAGCAGTACGCTCGTCCAGAGCTCTCTTCTCAAAAGCCATCCGAGCAGACTGTTCATCAGCCAGAAGGCGCTGGAGCTCTGCCTTTTCGTCTCTGATTGAATCACGCTCAGTCTGCCAGACGCTCTTTTCAAGCTGGAGGGCATCATTCTCATCCTGAAGAGAGTCGTTCTCCTTCTTCAAGTCATCTCTTTCTTGTTCAGTTTTTTCAAGTCGAGCCAATACCTCGGCATTCTTGCTGGCGAGAAGGTCGTTTTCTTTATTGGCCACCTCCAGGCTATCAGAAAACTTACGAGCCCTGGCGTTCCCCATCTCTACCTGCTTCTGCATAGCCATCATTCCGAACAGAGTCTGCATAGATGTACATTAATAATGGTTAAACCGATAGTCTGGTCGGGCGAAGGCAAGACCAAATAATATGAGGGAATTCATGAGTTGAAAATAAAAGTCACCTCCATGGCAGATTGGGGAAAGCGGCTGAACACATCCTTCTGGGATAGGTCTTTCGCCGCCTCAAGGTCTTTCGGAGTCCACATGCTCCTATAATACGCCATGGCGGTCTGGCCATCCTTTAGCATGGTCTCGTTCGGCTTCATGAACGTCCCATCCGTTCGGGTGTACCGAGGAGCCCATGGTGGTAAAGTGGGAAGAGAAGGGGACCCTGAAGCAGAAGCAGAGGCACCAGCTGCAACAGGCCCGAAAGGGGCAAGAGCTCTGACCGGGCGATGCAAGACAGCACCCGGCCCAGAGACCCGGGTCCTTCTTATGAGAGGTTCCTCCTCAGGGTCGACTCCACTGTCAGGATGAGGCCTTTTGCCTCGTTCTTTGTCCCGAGCGCCCCCAACGGCAGCAGGGGCTGTAGTGATTTGAGGAGACACGTTCGGGTTGGTAGCAGGGGTGCTGACAACAGAGTCAATAGCCACCGTGCTCGGGATGGTGTCAGAGATGGTGGCTGAGGAAGAGGCTGATGCAGGAGAGGAGGTTGCCCCAGCAGCAGAAGTGGCTTGGGGATTATTTTTCTTCCTGCGAAAAGAGGGGATCTGAAGCCTGCTCATGTTATAGCCGAGGGATGAGAGCGCTAGGAGGTTGTCTGAAGTGAGGAGGTCTGAGCAGGAAGGAATATCGTTCAGAACGTATTTCTTCAAGTAATTACTCCTATCCCTGCAAACACTGTAGCTCAAGTCATCACAAGGTATTCCTAAGGAGCGGCATAAGAAAGTACAAAAGCGAGGAACGCATGTTTCGTAGGGGCAATCATTTTTGTGAGATTTGAATTTCTTATATGAGGAAACAGAACAGACGCCAAAGGCGCTCGGGATTGGATAATCCTCTGCAGCCGGCGAAGACCAAGCCCCACTAATACCCACAATGTTATCCCTCCAACCCTTTTCAGATTTGATTGTGTCTGTGCATATGGACATCTTCTCGATCGGGTAGAGGTGGTAAAAAGGCTCATTAATTCGGATCTTACTGACCTTATAACACAGAAGAAGATCTATGAGGTCAAGTTCCAGACTTCTGTCACGAATCAACAGTAGCATAACGGATATGATTCTAAAGAAATTGGGGTTTACCTGCAGGGGGGATATCCCTAGTCTATTGAAGACATAATTAAAGAAGGGATGCAAAGGGAACCTAACGACATTCAGTTGAAGGTTTGAAAATAAAACTTCGCCGGGGAGGAGGCCGGCACCGGTCATAATATTAACGTCCTTAGGGCAAACCCTAACTTGGATGTTGTCAGGAAGTCTAAGTCTCATACGAAGAACATCTAGATCTACAACCATGGTGGAAGTGATTGAAGGATCTAAAAGGGTAAAAAGAAGCCTGCCGAAAGTAAAAAGGAACAAAACTAACCTCTGAGGTAGAGAGTAACAAAGAGCACTGCAAGATCGCGGGAAGAATGACTCTTGAAGGATTTCACCAGAAAAAGCTTAGCACTGTTCTAAAAAGAGAGAGATTTGACTGATGATGGAGACGGTAAAAAGGCATGAAGTGGTATTCTAGAGCCTTATAAAGGCGAGGGGGACCCGAGGGCCGAAGCGTCAGGAAGGCGAGAAATTCATCGAGCCCCGGAACATTGATTCTGGATCTGACCGTCCGTTCTCCCACGTGGGTTTCTCGAGCCGTCAACGTCATGATGAGACGCCATTAATAATTACCCCCTTATTAAATAAGGGGTAATTATGGGGGCAGTTGAGGAAGCCCAGGATGACATGGGCCGGATATAACTTGCAAACACGACATCCGGTCCGTATAGCTGGGTCAGGCCCATAAAAAGACACTGCCATATGGGCCGAACGCGAATAAGCCCATCAAAGGTGACCAGGACTTATGGAGGAACAGGCCCAGATCCAGCAATCGGTCAACATTTGTAAATATCTATAAATAGGAGAAGTAATGGAAAGAAAAGGGGAGATATTTTTTGGTTGAAATGTAAGAATTCTAGAGAGAGAAAGAGAGTATGAATTTCTTGCATCTTCAAGCTCTCACAACACAACTCTGTGTCGCACTCTCAATCTGCCCTCTCTACAGAACCCACATTAGCAATATATAGACAAATTCTTAAAACCGCCCACAACTGCCCACTAAAGTAGTGGATGACACCCCCATCCACTTAGGGTCGTGCTGGCACCCTTTAAGTGTGCCAGCACTACATATGCAGTTGACAACCCCAACTACTAGCTTGTTGGCACGCTCTGCTCATGCCACATGTCCACAGGAAGTTGCACATTATTTGCCACCTTCTATATATCAGCATAGTGGAAGAAAACTGACTCTAACCACCTATGTGTTGTCCCCTCATATCAATGTCACATGCATGGTAAGTTACTCAGCACACCCCCCACTCCCCATAATATATGCATATGAGTGGGAAGTGTTAGTAACTTCCCCCAACCAACTGAGCACACCCCCACTCCCCATAATATATGCACATGAGTGGGAAATGTTAGTAACTTCCCCCAACGAACTGAGCCCACTTAGCCATCTTCTGTAACAATAAGCCATGACTTGTGTGGTCCATGCTTTAAATAACATCTGAGCCAACCTTATGAACCTAGCCCGTGCCAAGCCCACTAATCTGCACCCACATATAAATATCTCAGAGTGCACGACGTGCCAAGCCATGCATGCCCGTGTGCACGTCCGAGTGCACGCCCCTAAGCGCGCTGCTGCACACCGGTGGGCAAGTTGGTGCTCATCTGCGCGTGCCATGCTTGAACGCCCGTGAGCACACGGCTGTATGCCCGCGCGCACATCGGGCTAGACGCCTGCCCACGCGCCCGCCTGGACGCCTGCGCGTGCCGTTGCTCACTTGTTTGCCTTTCGGTAGTTTGGATGCTCCCCTTTTGTGTTACCATCTTAGAGTGGTGCAACATGTGCCCATACACGTTGGCTAAGCCCTCTAAGTAAGCCATGCCATAGCCCAACTGATGTGCTCAACAGACCCTTCCCTAGTATAGTTATAAGGAAAATCAGCAGTCTGACAGGAGCAGACATCACCTATGCTTGAGGAGTCATAATAGCCTTTTAGACCCTTCCCGACATCTAAATCGAGTGGCGTCTGCGCCAACCATCTTCTATGGACTCAAGGTACCTCCCATAAAGATCCTGAGCTAAAACTCCAAGCTTTACTTTTTCGCCATATTTAAGAAAATGCCACCGGGCACCCCCGATGCATGCTGACAGCATCCCATGGCTGTCAGGGGGCTTGTCAAAGTCCAAACCCCGTAACAGTAAGGAACACATGCTATTAAATGTTTACTTTTTTATTTTTGGGTATTCCAAAATAAATGTCTCATTTGAAAAATTAAAGTACTATTTTTTGTAACATTATCAATTTAACCTTCTTGTATTGAACTTATAAAAAGCAAATCATCACATTTTATGTACCCACTATGGACATATTTGATAATTCATTCACTATCAATATAATAAAAAAATATTAAAACCCAACCTCTTAAAAAGTTAGATTCCCAAAAATTAAACCCCGTGAGAATTCTACTATTAAAAGTCCTTCATTGATAAGGCCTTCGTGAAATGAATTTTAGGAATTTTGTTGGAAGAAATTCATAAGAAAAAGACGTTTGACGAGTTATTTTTTTCTTGACAATAATATCATTTATCCTTAACAATTATTGTAAGCCTCCAATAATTAGGCGAATGTGGCAGTGGTGGAAAGTGATGACAATGCTTGTGGTGGTGGTGGCAAAAGGGAATTGTGATAGTGGTGGTGGTGGAAGGTGGTGGTTGAGGGTGGTAGTGGTAGAATATGACGATGTCGACGGTGGTGACAATGGTGAAAGGGTGGTAGTTGTGGAAGGTGGCGATGATAATGGTGGTGGTGGTGGTAGTAAAAGGTCACAGTGGCGGCAGTGGTGGAAGATAGCAATAGTGGAAGGTGGTGGTGGTGGTAGTAAAAGGTCACAGTGGCGGCAGTGGTGGAAGATAACAATAGTGGAAGGTGGTGGTGGTGGTAGAAGGTAGCGATAGTGGAATGTGGTGGTCATTGGTAGTGGAGGGTGATGGTGGCGGTGGCAATGGTGATGGAAGGTTACGGTGACAGTGTTGGAAGGTGGTGGTGGTGGCGGCGAAAGGTGGTAATGGTTGGTAGCGGTGGTGGCGATGGTGGCAAAAGGTGGTAATGGAAAGTGGTGGTGGTTGGTGGCGGTGATGGTGGAAGATGGCGATGGCAATGGTGGTGGTAGCAGAAGGTGATAGTGGAAGGTGGCAGTGGCAATGGTATACTGGTGGAAGGTCATGGTAGCAGCGAGAGGTGGTGATAAAAAGTGGCGGTGGAGGGTGATGGTGGCAATGGTAATGGCGGTGGTGGTGGAAGGTCACGGTGGCGGTGGCGAAAGGTGGTGGTGGTGGTGATGGTGGAAGGTAACGGTGGTGGAACAAAGGACTAAGAAAGAATATAGGATAATCTTATCAATCTATGAGAATATATGAGCAAATTAGTAAAATATCAAATTTATTCTTAAAAAATTGGCTTCTTAAAAGGAGGTTTTAAAAACAACATTTTCTTACTTCTTTGTAGTGGACTTTCTGGGGAAGTACTTTACATATGTGTAACCAAATATTACAAATTTTTTCAAATGGACTTTTCAAACTTGGAATGACTTTTTGAGGTTCCAAATCGCTCGTTGTACACACAAATTTTGTAGTCTGTAAATAAGAACAAAATATGAAGCAAAAATAATATTTTATTAAATTGAAAAAATTGGAGTACAATCCTCTGCAATATTCTTTACAAAGAATAACGTCCTCTGATTCGATCTCCTTTTTTTTGTTGGTTGGATCCAAGGGCTGCACGAGATTGATCTTGAATCACTGTGGAATTTGGATGAAGAACGGCACGATTTGATGTGTTTGTTATTGATCACCAAGAAATTTGATGAAGAATGGTACGATTTGATGTGCTTGGTGTTCTTTGCTTTTAGGCTTGGATGTTGGGGCAGAGTTTCTGTATTTCTCTCTGGAATTCTGGATTTCTAAATTTTGAATTTTCTGGACCTTTTGGATTTCTGAATTTGTGTCTGAATTTCTGGACCTTTTGGATTTCTGAATTTTTGTATGAATTTCTAAACCTTTTGGATTTCTGAATTTGTCTCTGAATTTCTAGACCTTTTGGATTTCTGAATTTCTGGATTTTTGAATTTTGAATTTTGTCTGAATTTCTGGACTTCTGAATTTTGTGTCTAAATTTCTGGACTTCTGAATTCTGAATTTTGTCCACTTCATTCTTCCTCCAAGCCTATATTTATAGGCTTCTTGGATCCATAGGATGATGACATGTGCCCTCTCTTGATAAGGATAAAATCATAACTGGATCGAGCCAGTTATATTATGATAATTATCCTTAAAAATAATTATTCCAAATATATTTTATTAGGAATAATTATCTTTCCATTTAATCATCTGAACTGGGCTAATTAAATAATTTAAGTGGACCAAGCTTGGGCTAATTAAATAACTTAATTAAACATTAGCCCATATTTAATGGGTCAATTTGTCAAAACAAAAGTTTATTAAAATTTTAGTGTTTACAAATTGCCCCTACTTCGAGTCCCATGTTTGACAGTACTTGTCTCCTTTTTCAAGTGGGATTTGAAGTATCCAACTTGGTCTTTGAATTGTCAAAGGCTTTCCTATCCAAATTTGGATTATAAGATTTCCTCTTTCCTTTTCCTATCCAACTTTGGATTAGAATTTTACTTTTCCATTTGAACTAAATTATACAAATCTCAGTACAAATAGAAGATATTTTATTATCTATATATACCTATCCATGCCATAGGGTTAGACATCAATTTCAATATTGTTGAAGACTTGTCTGATTATAACCTTTGAAGATTGTGTTGGATTGAACAAATAATTGGTATGACTTTTCTCTCTCTTTTTTTATTTTTATTTATTTATTTTTTCACGCCTCTTGCCCTCCCCCCCGCCCCCCTTCCCTTTTTCTTCTTTTTTTTTTTTGTTCCTTTTCTTTCCTCTTTTTTTTTTCACGCTATTTTTTTTTTTCTTCTTTCCTTTTTTTTCACGCTGAATTTTTTTTTTTTTTTTCTTCTTTCCTTTTTTTTCACACTGAATTTTTTTTTTTTTTTTTTTTTTTTTTTTTTTTTTTTCATTCTTTTCCCCCTTTTTTTTTTTTTTTTTTTTCACTTTCCTCTAACCCCCCCCCCCCCTTTAAGGGCTTGATTGGGTATAGCAACTTGATTTTGTCAGCCGTAGCAGAAATTGAAATCCTCCTTCTAGACAACACCGATCGAGTCTTCAAATTTGTTGTCACATCATGGTGGTATTTTAGTGTTTTACAAAGCAAAAGATAGTAATCTTAGAGAGCAAAAGTAGTCGAAGAGGCCAAGGAATCACATTAGGTGTATCTGACTCACTTCTCGATCGCAATGCCATTTAAATGCCTAATTCTGACAATGAACATTGTTCATTTATTTGAACACGCATTCAATTGCCTGATCCTGACAATGAACATTGTTCTTCTCTATGGATACGCATTCAATTGCCTGATCCTGACAATGAGCATTGTTCTTCTCTATGGACACGCATTAAATTGCCTAATCCTGACAATGAACATTTTTCTTCTCTTTAGACACGCATTCAATTGCCTGATCCTGATAATGAATATTGTTCATCTCTTTAGACACGCATTCAATTGCCTGATCTAACAATGAACATTGTTCTTCTCTTTGGACACGCACTCAATTGCCTGATCCTGACAATGAACATTGTTCATCTCTTTGGACACGTATTCAATTGCCTGATCATGACAATGAACATTGTTCTTCTCTTTGGACATGCAATGCCCCTTACGACTTTACCAACTTCAGTCTTGATTAGATTAATGAAGAATCCAGTTTAGGCTCGTATAGGGGAGCACTTCAACTTTAATTATTCTTCTACTTTGCAAGAATTAAACGGTAATCCAAACTTATGCTGAAGGGTACGGACTATCTCATCGTCACTTTGAGGATTTTCTTTTTGGTTTCCTTGACTTAATGCCCCCTGTGATTTTGCACTTTTGGTTGAACTCACTGTTGTAGCATGGTGTGTTTCTTGATGCAAGTCTTTCGAGATGATACTTATAATGAAAGATGAAGCTATTTTGTCATCCAAGTTAGGAAGTATATTGTCTTCTTCTTCGGACTCACTTCTCTCATCTTCTTGAAGGTTGTCGAATATATCAGGAACATCTTCTCTAGCACCATAATGTTTTAGGCTAAGCTCCATGTCATGGGCTCGAGTAACAAGCTCTTCAAATGTGCAAGGCTTAATCCCTTGTAGGATGTAAAGAAGCTCCTAGTGCATGCCTTGCATACATGCTTCAACTGAAGAAATTTCAGATAAACGATCATTGCAATCAAGACTTAGAGCTCGCCAACGGTTGATATAGTTAACCACGGGTTCACCCTTCATCTGTTTTGTGTTTGTAAGCTCCAGCATACCTACAGTATAACGAGTGCTATAGAAACGGTTGAGAAATTCTCGTTCCATCTGCTCCTAACTGTCAATACCTCCAGCTTTGAGGTCTGTGTACCAATCAAATACATTCCTTCTGAGGGAACAAACGAATTGCTTGACAAGGAGATCTCCGTTTGTACCAGTATTGACGCAAGTTTCTATAAAGTGTGCGACATGTTACTTAGGATTGCCTTTTCCGTCAAACTGTTGAAACTTTGGAGGTTGATACCCAATTGGCATTTTTAAGATGTCAATTCTTTCTGTGTAAGGCTTTAAGTACAAGCGAGCACTTTGAGAAACGCCACTGTATTATTCTCTTATGCAATTCACTATCATGTCTTGAAGATGTTGGAAGGAAATTGAGTTGACGGAGGCAACTTCAATTGTTGGATTAGCGGACGTCTTGATGAGCACTGAATATTGCATATTCGAGCCCCTAAATATACGTGTGTTAAGACCTAAAATGATACTTCTATCCATTATTAGACTGATTTATGTTTATTTCGTGTTTTTAGGTACTTTATCAAAGAAACGGTTAAAACCGTGCTTTTATGATGAAAAGAATGATAAAGAAGTTTTACCGAGTCGTTACCGGTCTTCTGAAGCAAGCCGAGAGTCAAAATGGTGAAATTTGGAAGAGTTTAAGTTCAGAAGCTCGAGCCTCAGTTCTATGGCTCGAGCATAAAACAAGAAATTCCACCAAGGCAAGAAAGCTCGACCTTTAAACTCAGAGCTCGAGCCTAACTTAAGGGTGCTCGAGCCTTTGCCTAAGAGCTCGAGCACATGATGCGTTGGAATTGAAAAGTTGATCTAAGCTTTCAGGACCTTGTGCCAAGCCTCAGGAATAGAGCACTGATACCTAGAGCTCGAGTCCATAGCCCCAACACTCAAGCCCAACACCTTGGGATCGAGCACCATGAAGGAGGGATCAAACACCATCAATAAAAAGACATTTCGGAACAATTTTGCTCCTAGAGCTCGAGCCTGAGCTTTAAAGCTCGAGCACGATTTAGAAAGCTCGAGCACAACCACTTCGGGCTTGAGCATTGTTGAAAACTCTAAACCCACTTTATTATTTTGGGCATAACTTTTGACTCGGAACTCCAAATTGAGCAAACTTAGTGGCTCTGGAAAGAAGACTCGAAGCTCAATATTTTTGTCTCTAATAGTCATCTCGAGATTCGCACTCTAAATAGGTCAAAATTGCTTAGGCTCGAGGTATATTCTTGAAAGCTCAAGCCTTGTACTTGAAGCTCGAGCCTGGGACTCTAGAGCTCGAGTCTTGACATCCTGGAAGTTAAAAATACATACGGGAATTATATATTTTCACCTATCTTTATTTCCTTATGGGCCTAATTGTTACCAAAAACTGTAAAACCAATCCAAAGGGGATTATGACTTGTTCTCCACTATAAAAGAAGAGGAGAAGACCATAGAAAATCATCTCTTTTCTAGTTATTATTCCTCTCTCTCACGGCGGCTTTTAGGGTTTTGTAGAAGAA